ACTGATGTACACAGTATACGAGATGATTAGAGTGCGACGTGTACTAGTACTGATGTACACAGTATACGAGATGATTAGAGTGCGACGTGTACTAGTACTGATGTACACAGTATACGAGATGATTAGAGAGCGACGTGTACTAGTACTGATGTACACAGTATACGAGATGATTAGAGTGCGACGTGTACTAGTACTGATGTACATAGTATACGAGATGATTAGAGTGTGACGTGTACTAGTACTGATGTACATAGTATACACGAGATGATTAGAGTGTGACGTGTACTAGTACTGATGTACATAGTATACGAGATGATTAGAGTGTGACGTGTACTAGTACTGATGTACACAGTATACGAGATGATTTGACTGTGACGTGTACTAGTACTGATGTACACAGTATACGAGATGGTATGGAATCAACCAACTTTTTCAGCTGCATGTAATCCAAAGTAAATTACATACATCAGTGCTACTACGCTCCACACTGGTCATTTGTCTGATGAAGGTGACCGTGTTGTCATCAAAACATCACACACTATTCTTCTAATGGTTGTGTTATAAGAACTTCTATTCTATGAAAACATTTATCGTTTTACATATGTAAGAGGCTGTAGTAATCAGGTACAAGATGTGTCACAGGTAGGAAAAGTATTGTATATAATACAAAATATGAAAATTTTACCTTCACCTGGAAAACATTCTAATAGCAGTCCACTTCAACCAAACAGGTAAAATCAGGTGTTGTCATGTAAGGTGTTTTGCATCATGTTATCGTGCAAAGCTCACTATATGGGTGTGGCCATATAGCATGCAGGTAAAAGTCAATATTTGGTACACAGAGTCTGTAGTGCAGACATCCAGCTGGCTACTTCACCAGAACTAGCCTTTAGCACCAAACTATACTACCTGCTTGGCAGATACTCAGCTGAACATTCCCTATATGAATGTTACAGTCGTACAGTCACTCAATGTTTGGAAATCTTTTAAAGAATCACTGCATTTCTGGATGCATACATAGGTCTGTGTCATTTGCAGGTAATATTTTGTTATAATAGTGTAACTCAACAGTAGTAGCAGTAATCTTTTCTAATACACTGTGATCCTTCAATCCCTGACTTGTATAACAGTCTGTTTGTTTCAAAGGAGAAGGTTGATGACAAATGAAAAGTCAAAGATACTACATTTTAAGCTTTCATTAAAATTTCATACATTCTAAAGTGATATACAACATGCCCAAGGGCCTTATTGGTCATCTGAGTTTTAAACAAGAGGCTCATATGGCCTGTATCTATCAAATAGCAAAATTGATTCCTCTTCATCAAAGAATGCTTCAAACTATGTAGAGTTTTGATGTTTCCAGCTTATCTTCGTTTAATGAAGAAGATTTTCAAATTTTATATTCAAAATATGGTCTTTCAGTATGGCAGTATCAAAATATATCTTCATGTTACAATACTAATCAAGTCTGAATGATTTGAAATTGAAAAGAGACCCAATGGGTCTGAAGTACTCACCTGGTATATATATACCAGCCAAATATCATGCCACTGGACCTATGAATTCATGAAAAGAAGCTATTGAAATATTTTAGCAAATTTGACACAACCCCTGTGACCTTAAATACAAGTCAAGGTAATTTCTTTTGCAAACTTTGTCAGGCTTTGTCATAGGAATATAATAAACAAATATCATTCCTCTAGGACTTTTAGTTCATGAGAAGTCGCTTAAATGTTTTAACAAATTTGAACTCTGTGACCTTGAATATAAGTCAAGGTCATTTTTTTTCAAACTTTGTCAACCTTCATCAAAGGAACATACTAGCATAATATCATCTCTCTAGGCCTAGGAGTTCATGATGAGTTGTTTAAATGTTTTAACAAATTTGACCTGTGACCTTGAAAATACAGTCGAAACTCGTTATCTCAAAATTCAAGGGACCATGGAAAATATTTCAAGTTATCTGAATTTCGACTCAAATGAAGTGTATAAAAAAGGTTAAGGATATCAGTTTCCTGACGTTGATTACAGTTGAACGTAGATGGGCTATGATAGTTTAATCTGTTATTTGAAATGGCAGTAAATAAACTAATAAATGAATATCTACTTTTTCGTTTTATTGTTTATTCATACAAACAACAAATGTAATACTAACTTAATAATAACTCCAATCAAATACATTCGTACTCACATCATTCCGTCCTGCATGTGTTAAATAATACCCTTATTGACAAAGGAAGGGCAATAAAAAGAAATTAAAAATTTCCTTTTGATACGCTACAAGAAATGATGTATGAAGCTACGGATCATATCAATATGACTTTATTATGAATAAATAATCATAGAAAAAATGCGGCACTAGAACGTTTTTACCTATTACAGAAAACATTGTACAAGTACTAGACTTAACAAATCCCCCACAGATATAGACTCTATCAATGAAAAATACTTTCAGCACTTCATTGTCCAAACACTAAATCTGACAAAGTACCTGATCACAGTTCTTCAGCAGCTCAAAATTAGTTTTTCTCAGAAATGTAGGGATCGGATTTCATCAAAAGCTTGTACAGGTTTTACGGTTTTGTTTTTATCGTTCCTGAAGATGCATGCAACCAAGATAAATGTTTTCATGTTTCGTGTAAACAAGCTATTTTTGCTAATGTACAGGTAAGTTACTGCTACAGGATGTTGACACTAATTAAGAAGCCAACCTTTAATTGGATTATTAAACTGGAAAATTAATCGCCAAAGACCAGGTGTTGTGTGTATAATGGGCCGATAAGCTGTAATTAGCCATGTGTTACGCACAGGTGACTTTCTACTCTGTGTATGTATTGACAAATTTCGTCAGAGGACACAATGTTTTGACAAAATTTAATTTCGAGACGAATGACTTTTCCCTTGCTTTACAATTGAAGGGACCCTAAAAACGCTTCAAGTCAACCAAAATTTCGACTCATTTAATTTTGAGTCATCCAAACTAAAATTACAAAAATATAGAAGGAAAAAAATCAGGACTTGAAAATTATTTCAACTCAAATGGAATTTTGATGATTTCAAGACAAGTTTCAACTGTAGGTCAAAGTAATTTATATTTGCGAAATTCATCTGGCTTCATCCTAGGAACATATCAGGCAAATATCATTTATCTAGGCCTTTCGGTTTGGTCCAGGTGAGCTGATGAAAAAAACATGTCCAAAAGGATCATTTTCTGTATAAAGTTGAGATGAACAATTTTGATAAATCATCTGAAGACACCTTTCGTCTATGACAATTAATGGTTTCCAGAATAGCTCAGTCTGGATAAGAATATTGTCAAAATTCATGTGATTTTTACTTCTCCTGGCTCAAACCCCATGAGTTTGTGGTGGGGAGAATCCTATAATTAACAATTTAGATGTATATTCGGCCAAGGAGGGTTTGTGCAAAATTTCATTGAATCAGTTCAGGGGATTTCTAAGTCGAAATTGTCAGAGACAGCACACATCAATAGACAAAAGGTGACTAAAATAGGTTATTTTAGACTTTGTCACAGGTGTCATCAAAATAGGACATTGAATTTGTCCCAAAAAAAGGTAATGAAATTAATCACACAGAAGTTTTCATTCTAACTTGCCAACAAATAACTGCATAAACAAACGAACCTCACATGAAACATACATAAACATAAAATCCTCTAATCTTTTCCTGTAGTATCAACCCTAACCTATCACAGAATTCTGTCTTCATCCTTTATCACTGTACTGGGAAGAGTGCACACATTGTTACTAGAAAATTACTGTATATAGCTGTATTGACCTCATGCAATAGGCTAAAGAGTCAACTTCACACAATGTCTCATCCATGTATCTGCAAGCTGAAAGTTTAACAACTTTGGCCATTTATCACAACAAGCATAGTAATGAATACACAGTGAAAATAACACGAAGCTCATTGCACCTGTATTGCTCATTTGTTCTACAGCTTAAAAAAGAATATTTGTTGAGAGTCAATTTTTGAACTTACAAAAAGTTCATTCCAAAGAATGCTACATTGTCAATCACACAAATATCACAACTTGTAGCCTCTTGTTTTAACATTGAGATTATGGTGTTCAAACACATCTGACCCCTGTGACCCTGAAAGAGGGTCAATGTCATTCATTTAACTTACTTAGTAGCCTTTCATCATTGAATTCACTGAACAAGAAACCTACATCTGCAGAAAATATCCCTCTAATACATAGAAATAGCGATGACATACTACATCTGTGAAAATCTAAGTTGGCTGGTCATCAGCCATTTGGGTTTTTTTTCTAGGTCATCAGCCATTTGGGGTTTTTTTCTAGGTCATCAGCCATTTGGGTTTTTTTCTAATCAAAAACTGGAAAAATGAAACCAATGAGAGCCTACATATCAACACTCTGATATATCCAGTACTTCATACAACAGATAACAGACTATCACTGTCAAAATCCAAGATGGCACCTTGTGGCCATTTTGTTTTCCAATCAGTTCTGACAAAGGGTAATTTGAACAGCCAACCATCTGATGATGGTAGGAGATTCCATGCTTGTAAGTCTCATTGTTTCTATAAATAGTCAAAGTGACCGTGGTGTTGAAATACTAAAACACTCATCCAAGGTATTGTCATTGTTGACCTTTCTATAAGGTTTAATCCCAATTCCTTCACAAATAAAGAGGTTTTAATGATGACATGGATGCAGGATGGGACACATATAGATAAACATGGATAATAATATATATCTCCAAACCCCTTTACTTGTTCTAGTGAAAATGTAGGGGCTACAAACTAATGGACGTAACTATTGCCAGTTAATCATAGTCTATGATGGAGAAAGGATGACCCTAGATGTGAACTGAAAGAATGAGTATGTACCATATGGAATGAGGTGGAGAGTTGATGATGTAGTGATGTGTTGTCCTCACCCAGGAAGGTATGTCAATTTTGGCCATTGCTGTCCAGTGTCAAGTGCTTAATGACAGAAGAGGTGAGCTTACCTTTGGGTGATGTATAGGTGTTGATGGATGAATTAGTCCACAGTATCTATATTGCACACTTGTGATGCCAAGGAGGTCGTAGATCAGTTCCTTGGTCTTCTATCATTCACACTACCAGTAAACTGCTGGGGCTAATGGTCACTCTGATTTAGCTGCATTCTGTCCACTGGTTTGTATACCCCCTGTATAACAAGCTTACAAAATCATTGTGCCTCCACCTGTCCATATATCATCAGGAATGACCCAAAGGTACTGTCAAACTTTCTATTTAAGAAAATCTCTGGTTTTGGTATGAAGCAATATTTTCCCCCCTGCTGTATCCGCACCTGTGTTGAGCTGGTTAATCACCTCTACATCGTCACATCTTGATAGGTTCCTAAAAGAAAGGAAAATGAAGTTTAAATCTTAACCAAATATGGAAGAAATTAATAAATAAAAACATTGTCAAATTTTGGCATTAGTAGCTCTTTCTAAAAGAAGTGATTTTTATGCAAGCAGTACATAAGGCTTATAGTGCTAACCAACATTTGTTTGCATTCCTCCTAGACCTGAAGAGAACATCAATTGTTTCCAGGCAGAATACAAATGTCATTTTCTCTGGGTCCTTTAAACCTATATTTTTCATGCTTTAAAAATGATTATTAGTACTACTGTCAAAAGTGAACATTTTAAATGTTCGATTAAAAAAGACTTCCCAAAGAAAAGAAGGAGACAGATTAAATTTTTGAAGAATGAAATCCAAATTCAAAAACCAATATATTTGAATATTCTGAAGAGGGTTTTTTTCTCAATCAGTCAGGCAAAACAATCAATGCCGTTTGAAAGACTTGATGCACTGAATCCATGTCATACCAGCAGTGTGATTATATATTCCAGTTGTAAAATTTAAGACAATGGATAACATGATATTGTACTGAAGACAACAAACATACAGTAAAAAGAGTGACGCTGAAGATGACAATGAGCTGACAGATCAGACTCCTGACTGGAAATAAAGGCCAGGTCAATGAGACAACAGTCAATTGGAGAGAGTTAAGCTTCTCAACCACTTGGCCCTCATACTCCTGATAGTCTCTCATTGGTTACACTACACATGACATTTCCAAATCCAGAAAAGGAAAAGAAAAGTCATTAGTTTCACCAAAATGTCGAAGCACTGGACTTTTATGATCAAATACACCCACTTTCAACTTCTTACCTTTTCATACAAATTTAACAAATATTTTTTGTTATTTAGCAAACTCCCACTGAGACCCTAAGCTTGCTGACATGATTTCCTAATAACCTCCTGGTCTGTTCTCTGTAACATTCCTCAGGTACACACTTGTCTCTTCATAAAAATCATTACTTCCTCTCAAAAGCTTTGCAATTTTGTTCATAATTTTAGAAAAAGAATCTAATTACCTTGGCATATGAAACGAAATTTAAGAAATATTTGAATGAAATCACAAAACAGCACCTTACCAGCTATATATAACATTTAAATGTTACATTCCACTGCTTCATCTTATTGTTGGGTTATTAAAATCCAATATGTACCAGACAGATATTACAGAATGTCTTATCATGACAATGAACACATTTCTGGACAATACCAGAGCAGAACTGACCCAAAAAATTCCTCTTACATAACATAGTTATAACTAAACTGGACAACACTCGAGTAGAACTGACATACACAGTCTTGTTATATAACGTAGTCAACACTGTACTGGGCAAAACTCTAGTAGAACTGACATACACAGTCTTGTTATATAACGTAGTCAACACTGTACTGGGTAACACTCGAGTAGAACTGACATACACAGTCCTGTTATATAACATAGTCAACACTGTACTGGGCAACACTCGAGTAGAACTGACATACACAGCCCTGTTATATAACATAGTCAACACTGTACGGGGCAACACTCGAGTAGAACTGACATACACAGTCCTGTTATATAACATAGTCAACACTGTACTGGGCAACACTCGAGTAGAACTGACATACATAGTCTTGTTATATAACGTAGTCAACACTGTACGGGGCAACACTCGAGTAGAACTGACATACACAGTCCTGTTATATAACATAGTCAACACTGTACTGGGCAACACTCGAGTAGAACTGACATACACAGTCTTGTTATATAACGTAGTCAACACTGTACTGGGTAACACTCGAGTAGAACTGACATACACAGTCCTGTTATATAACATAGTCAACACTGTAGTGGGCAACACTCTAGTAGAACTGACATACACAGTCCTGGTATATAACATAGTCAACACTGTAGTGGGCAACACTTGAGTAGAAGACTTGCCAAAAAGTGTTTGGTAGAATTGACCTACACAATAAGATATAACTTTATACTTACAGAATTTCAGTCAGTCTATTTGGATATTGAATACTTGATTCTCTATACATTTTATAGGAGACATTATTCCTTAATACAATGTACTAGTAAGGGATAGAATTATTATAGAAACCCTTGTGGAAAACAAATGTAAGCCTTAGTCCTTAACATATGGATAAACTCAATTCAGACTTAGTTCTAAATGTATCAGTTTCACATCCACATTGTCAGACACAGTCCTAAACATATGGACCATCAGTTTCACATCCACATTGTCAGACACAGTCCTAAACATATGGACAATCAGTTTCACATCCACATTGTCAGACACAGTCCTAAACATAAGGACAATCAGTTTCACATCCACATTGTCAGACACAGTCCTAAACATATGGACAATCAGTTTTACATCCACATTGTCAGACACAGTCCTAAACATATGGACAATCAGTTTTACATCCACATTGTCAGACACAGTCCTAAACATATGGACAATCAGTTTCACATCCATATTATGTCAGACTTAGTCCTAAATGTATGGACATGTATGTCAACATTTGATTTCAAGTCAATCTAACACATGCTGGTTGTATTATGTACAGACTTCCCAATAGGTTATAACAGCTGTTTGGGAAAAGTATCCTTAGCAAGATTTATCACTTAACATAACCCTGTTATCAGAATATTACACAGGTAACACTTACAATATCACGATTTGTTACGACGTCATGGCATCATATTCAGTGAGATGTCACATATACTAAATATTTCACAAAGAAGTGGTAATGATCACTAAATTATCAATTCTGAATACTTTATCTGTAAAAGTAACAAATTAAACAACAATTTCGCTATTTCAGTTTCTCAACATTCCCACAAACTTTCAGCTCAATGGCACCAGTGAAAATAGAGTAGTTTAAAATGTACTTTTCAAGGTAGAAGGCATGGTGGCAAAATTAGATTTCAGACTGATCAGGGGAAAAAAAACACTTGGTCCATTTCAGGATCATTTCAAGCACAATTAAGCTAAATCTACATGGTGGAACTTAATATTCAATTTAAGATAAACCTCATGGAACATGATGACTTAAGGTCACTGTTTTGGCAGTTAGTTTGAATACAGAGTGGGTCCAAAATGCAATGATCTTTAATGACATCTGTGGACCATTTACAACACAACAATGGAAGTTCCATCTTGATAGTAACAATAAAATGTTCATAAAGGCTACATAGGGACCATGCCATACTCACTAGTGTAGATCCTGTTGCTATATCACACCCATTTAGGAGTAGTGACAATAAAGAAGGAGAGACAACGTGCACTGATCTCTTCCGATCTTTTTCCAGTAAAGATAAAAACAGATTGCCATTGACAGACGTTTGATAGCTAGCCTCTGTCTATATTTTGGTAATAAATATGGGAACTTTATGCTAGCAAAGGAATCCTAAATGAAATACACTAGAAAGGTTGATAAAATACTGATGAAACGTATACCTACCAAAACTATTATAATCCATTACGTCCCACATAAGAGTTAAGAAATAAGAACAAGTTAGCCAGGCGACTGTCCAGCCTGACAAGTCAATCAACTGTCTATAGCTATATATTGTGTCCTTGACAAGGATAACATGGAAATAGTATACACCTGTAATTAATGGCATACCAAATACAGGTAAAATACGGTCAGATTCAGTGTTATGAGTGTATAAATCAGTGATGACTATGTGATCAGACAATGTTTCGATGTAATCTCTACATTCAGTATAGAATATATACTACACATATTGTACATAGATCCAAGCTGTGTTTTTGTATCTGACAATTTTTAACATATTCCTTTCATTATATTTGTACAAGCCCATTACTCTGCATGACAAAACAGACCGTTAAAAGAGACTTGGTAAAGGCTGATTTAGAAGAGGAAATGGTAACAACAGCAATCATAATAATGGTAAACATCCAAGGTTTTAATTGTGATATTTAAGTCTATATCTGAAATTAATATTTGACAGAAAAATACTGAAATATGTATTACCAGCTTTATTAAAAAAGTTATCGCTTCTGAAATGTTTATTTCTTTTAAACAAGTCAATTCAGGCCACACCAATTTGAAAAATAGTTCTTTGGGAATTACTGCTCCTAAAATCTGGAGTCGAGAATTTTTTTAAAAAATTATTGCTTTTCAAAAAAATATCAAAATTCCAGATTTTTTGGGTAAGATTTTGATTGTATAGATCTCTAATTTTAGTCACATAGATGCTTCATTTTTATAATGCAGCTAAAAAACTGTGGTAAAGAACATGTTTTGGCAGATATGATTATGTGGTACAATGAAGAGCCACTGTCTGTAACAATTAGAAAGTGTTTACCGCTAAGACAAGGCCCGATTTGAAACAGGATTTGTTCTTCCATGGCACTATCATGTCATATGTGAGTGGAAAGTAATTAGGATACTCTTTATGTAGGCCTAGTATTCAACTTCTCCAGGTCAATCAATGTGAGACACATTCTAATGATAACTTATTTTTTTCTAGCAGACTCATGAAAGAATTGTCTTTCCGGATCACAAATTATGGACAAATAATCATTACATTAGTATTAACAAGAAGAAAATCCTTGAAATTAAACTGAGTAAATTCACGTTTTAAACAAGAGGCCCAAGGGGCCTTAACGGTCACCTGAGGAATATATGTCAATAATCTGGGGATTTTAAAATGTTGCAAAAATGTAAGAAACCTTG